GTTGCTATATATGGTATTAAAGCAAAATCATAGCTAGGACAAAAAGCAATGGAAAATCAAGATCAGCATGCTGTAAGGCAAATTGTCAGTGAATCAGAGAATGTAGAGAGTTGCTTACAGTATGGCTCCTAGATGACACCTCAGTTTATTAAATTTCTGCTAATGTTACCTTAAAAGTCTTCCTGCAGGTTCACTGCTTCAATCGTATTCTGCTAGTCTTTCTCCACAAGAAATTAAGAGTTGTAACACCTTTCATTTACTTCTCTTAGATTCATGTTTTTGATTCATGGTACTTTCACATTACATACCTCTATTGTAGATTGTCTTAATCACATATACTGTTAAAGGAAGGACTTGTCAGTTCTCTTTGGCTGTTTGAATGAAATTCCAAACCAAGATTTCTGGTTACAGCAAAGTTTAATGAACTGGGCCTCAGACAATGGAGATATTTAGAATTTCAAAACAATCACTTAAGACAGGAGGGATATGATATTTTTGATTCTGTCTTTTGGATATAAAGATTTCACTAAAAGCTAATCAGAATGAGGGAAAGGGGGCAATAGTGCAGGAGAATTTGAGACCCCCTCATCAGGGAAAACAGCAGAAAGACATGGTGAACTTGTTTTTGCTTTTCCTGTGGGAAATTTGATTGGGGGTTTATAGTGAGTATAACAACAATCTCTCTAAGAGAGATTGTCGAGTGGGGCCTATATACTCATCATCCAAGAAGGCTTACCTTTCTGAACTTGATGGTACAGTTAAGATAGAGCAAAAGGTGTAAACAAGTATACGATAATTTCAGGTGGGTAATTTACATCTCAAGATATTGAGCAACTTTTCTTACACTGTGCTGTTCCTCTACTTCTCCTCTCCTCTCTTAGGGTTGTTTTTCCTGAACTGGAATTACAATACAGGAGAGAGCCTGACGTAATACAGCATAAACATGGTGTGTTTTCATGGCAGGTCAATTTTACTTGTAGATTTTGAGATATATATTTTTATATCAAATATGAATGTATTAAGTATGTGCTTAATGGGATAAAGAGGACACATGAAGGGATTTATGTATACACTTTTTACTAAAATAAATGTTAATACAGAAAAGTATATAAAATCATAAAGGTAGAGCCTAATAAATATCACAGAGAATAGGCCATGTAACTACAAGTTTGTTTTTTGTGATATCAACATAATAGCTTTCCTTTTATTACTGTTTGTATGGTACATCTTTTGTTTTCAACAATTCTTTTGCTTTCAAGTTTATGAATATATCTGATGTGTGTCTCTTGTAAGCTGAAATTTTTATCGAGTCAGGCTAGCAATCTTCATCTTTTAATTGGAGTTTTTAGGCTATTTGCTTTTAATATAATCATTCATATGTTTGGGCTTAAATCAGCCACCTTACTATTTATTTTCTATTTGTCCCATCTAATCCATATTCCGCCATTTTTTTTTTTAACATGCCTTGATTTGGGGTATTTTTTCCATTTGAATTTAATTACATTCTTTTACTTTTTTTTTTTTTAACAATTAGAGATTACATTATGCATCCTTGGTCTTTTTAAGTTTATTGTTAAATTGTTAATTAGCTTTTTTTTTTTTTAACAACTCCTAGACAGTGAAATGACTTTAGAACGCTTAAGCTCTATGGATTCGCCTTACACTTTTTGATGCCAGTTTTATAATTTGTTTTAATGGTAATAATACTGTTATCTTGTGAGACTTTCAAAAAATGTTTTATATAGCCAATATGTATTTGGACTTATTTACATCATTAATGCATACCCTTTTTATTACTCTCTCTTCCTTCCTACATCTCTGAATTTGTATTTGAAATTTTTTTCCTTCTACCTGAAGAATTTCTCTTAGAATAGACTTGTTAGTGATAAATTCACTTACATTTTGTCTTTCTGAACATCTTTATAAGGTTCATTTTTGAAGGACATTTTTGCTGGGTATAGAATGCTAGGTTGGTAGTTCTGTTCTTTTAGCCCTTTAAAAATCGTCCACTGCAGTCTTGATTCTGTTGTTGCTGCTAAAAAGTCAGCTGTCAATCTTACTACTCCTTTTAAGCTTTCTTTCTCTGTCCTTGGTTTTCAGTAGTTTGATATACTTAGGTAATGTTTTCTTTTTCTTTTAAATCTTCATTGGGATTTGTAGATTTTTTCAATATGAGGGTTGGTACTCTGTCAGTTTTGGAAAATATTCAGTCATTATTTCTTTAAATACCACCTCTCCTGAGTTATATGTCTCTTCCTTCAAAGGTCCCAATTAACACTTACATTAGACCCTTTCATTTTATTCTTATGTTTTTGCTCAATTCTTTTTCTCCTTTTGTTTTTCCATACTTTATTCTGCATATTTTCTTCTGGCCTTTTTAGTTTATTAATTTTTTTTCTTCAGCTGTGCCTATTCTATGCCTAATTTCTTAATCTTGCCATTGAATTTTTGACTTTATTAAGAGCAGTTATTTCAGAGTTAATGACATGAAAATCTTGAGTCTTTTGATTCTGTTTCTATTGTCTACTTTTTTGTGTTTAATCACAATTTTCATCTTGATATTTGGTTATTATTTTGGACATTGTGTGCCAAAATTTTGTCCATGTCCATATACCAAAAAAAAAAAGTAATGATAATTTGAGGTTCTTTATGATTTTATATTTCTCCAGGAAAATATTTTTGCAATCAGGCTAGGTAGGGCAGATCATCCAGTCAGAGGCTGAGATGATTCCAACATAGACTTCAGCCCTTGTAAAGATTGGTCTATTTTTGTTTTGTTCTTATTTTCAGATTGTAGCCTTTCAGAGTCTTCTATAAGAGCCTAGGTGTTTTCCAGGACCTCTTCTCCTAAGCGACTTTGGACATTAATTTTTGCTTAGCTTCATTGCCCTTCAGCTCTGTTTTCTCTCTGAGAATTGTCTTGAGGACAGAGCTATGCCAGATGTCTGGTCTGCCTCTCTTCTTTCTTCTTCCAAATTTGGTCCTACTAATTCTCACTGCCTTGATATCTTACCACTGTCTTCAAGTGTGTGTGTGTGTGTGTGTGTGTGTGTATGGTTTTTTGTTTTTTTACATTTTGTTCAGTTTTTCTGATTGTACTTCATTGCTCTAAAAGAACCTAGTCAGCCATTCCAGAAATATAACCATATGAAGTTGTTTTGTTTTTGTTGTTGTAGTGGTGATTGTTGGTTATTGTTGGTTTGTACCTTTTGCTTTCACAAAATATTTCAAAGCAATTTTGATTTTTAGTGTTATATTTCCCAGACCTCTACTGTCACTACACATGCCCATTGCCCTCTGCTGTTAGTGACGGTTAGGTGAAGAATTTGAGAAATGTAATGGAAAGGGAAGGTCATGGGCTTTTTTTTTTTTTTTTTTTTTTTTTTTTTTTTTTTTTTTTTTTTTTTTTTTTTTTTNTTTTTTTTGAGACAGAGTCTCCCTCTGTCACCCAGGCTGGAGTGCAGTGGCATGATCTCGGCTCACTGCAGCCTCTACCTCCAGGTTCCAGCGATTATCCTGCCTCAGCCTCCCAGGTAGCTGGGATTACAGGCACATGCCACTATGTCCAGCTAATTTTCTATTTTTAGTAGAGATGGGATTTCACCATGTTGGCCAGGCTGGTCTCGAACTCCTGACTTCAGGTGATCCACCTGCCCAAAGTTGTAGAATTACAGGCATGAGTCACTGCGCCCAGCCAGGCATGGGCTTTTTAAGCACACAGACCTGCATTCAAATTGTGGCTCCTTCTGATTGTGTCATCCTGTATGAGTTACCTGTTAGTTTTTTTAAATTTTTCTTTCTTCATCTGCAAAATGGCCTTAGTGAGAATGAAAAAGGATATACAAATAAAATTTTATTTAAAATGAAATAATGTATGGACAGCAGCTTATCTTGAGGACTAGGAAACTATAGAGTTAAGACCAATCTTAAAAGGAATTTAATAGAAATGTATAACTTCACCATGTAGTCATTGTTAACAAACCCTTAAAAAGGGCCATTAGGTTTGGTTGTGGGGCAGTTCAACAAGCATCTGCCTTCTGAGTTCAAGCAATTTTCCTACTTCAGCCTCCCAAGTAGCTGGGACTACAGGTGTGTGCCACCAAGCCCAGCTAATTTTTGTGTTTTTTGGTGGACACAGGGTTTCACCATGTTATCCAGACTGGTCTGAAACTCCTGACTTCCAAATGATCTACCTACCTCAGCTTCCCAAAGTGCTGGGATTACAGGCATGAACCACTGTGCCTGGCCAGCAAACCTTTTCTATAAAAGGCTATGTAAGGTTTTGTGAAACATATTGCCTCTATTGTAGCTATTCACTCTGCTGTTTTAGGGCAAAAGTAGCCATAGTCATTACATAAAAGAATGGGCATGGGTGTGTTCAAGTAAAACTCTATTTACAAAAATAGATGGCAGGCCAGCTTTGGCCCATGGGTCCCCAAACTGTGCTGAGCCTAGTCTTCCACAAGCTATGAATGTTTTTTATATTTGTAAAGGGTTGTTTAAAAAGAGGATGTAACAGAGACCACATGAGACAAAAAAAAAGCCTAAAATACTTTATTTGTAGTTCTTTACAGAAAGGTTTTTGCTAACTTTTGGGTTGGGGAATGAGTGGTGGTTGAAAAAGAAGTAGACTTCAGTACTGAAAGTTGACAGCAAAGAAGGAAAAACAACATGACAAGTAGTCTTGGATCCACAAAGGATCCTGGTGGAAAGTATAGGAAATTCTGTGTGCAATACTGACGTACTTATCCATACCCTATGCCAACAATGACTGGCCTGCTAATTAACTATTCTGTTTTTATGGATTTTCCATAAAGTGCTGTTTTAGCAGCAAACAGAGGGGTAAACTCATAAATAATAAAAAGCTAAATACTGTTAGAAATCTTCTCTTATATGAAAGAAATTAACTTTCCATTATAGCTAAGTGTTATCAGACTTTTTACTCCTGGTATGTATATAGCTTTGATTTTATAACATCCTGCTAATTTTTGTTCTTACAGAAATACACTTTCGGGAAATGGCCTCTAAATCCTGGCTGAATATTTTAATCTTCCTCTGTGGATCAGCAATAGGATTTCTTTTATGTTCTCAGCTATTTAGTATTTTGTTGGGAGAACAGGGTGACACCCAGCCTAATGTTCTTCATAATGATCCTCATGCGAGGCATTCAGATGATAATGGAGAGAATCATCTAGAAGGACAAATGAACTTCAATGCAGATTCTAACCAACATAAAGGTATGGTTTACTTTATTAAGGAATAAACATCAGCAGTACTTTAGTCTAAAGTTCATCATATCCCTGTCCATATCTGCTAATTAAAATGAGCTATATATTCCAGATGTTAAATAACAAGTATTGGTTTGCCTCAAGAGAAGGGAGTTGCTAAAACCCGGATTTATTTAGGAAATAAGATATTAATTTTGAATTTGTTTTTAAGTAGAAATGGTTCAGAAACCATGATTTGGGGAAGGGCATAACTATTCAAATTAGATTTGTTTTTGAAAATGTTTTTCTAGGTCCAATTAGTTGAGTTCTTTGTGTCCCTTGTGTTGGTTTTCTCCAAGTTTCTGTCCTTTAGCTATTTGTCCATGTGACATCATCAACCCTCATAATTTTAATTTCCATTTATTTCCTGCTGTCTTTAGCCCAGTTCCAGGCATTGTGAGAAGACATTAACACAGTGCAAAGATTTCTGCAAAATATGGTTTATTTGACAGAAAGTAATATAAGTATCTTGAAAACAGTTGGAATTATGGGATGCAGAGGGTTCACTATTCATTTGTTTCTATTCTCTTCGCGCTAGTAAATTCTTCACTACCTCTCAAGCATATGCTGAAGGGTGAGGTTTCAAAGCCTGGTTCAGTTTTATCAACTAGCAAGCACATGCATACTATGACAAAGTATGTCATGTTTTATGATTGTTTATATAACAGTTATTCATCTCTGAGCAGGTGTTCTGTGTTGTTACGGAACAGTTTGGTCACCGTGTATTTGCCCTGTAGCATAGCTACATGTCTTTAGATGATCAATTGGAGCCAAGCTTCCCTACTAACAGTAAGCCGTACTAGGCCTCACTACAGGCACATGTATTAGATGGATACTTGTCCAGCTCAGTGGCCCACAAAATGTGGGATATGCTAAAAGTTTGTCTACTCCCTTCAGACTCAACATGTGTAAATTAAGTCTCCTTTTCTTTTCCTTCCTACTCCTGGAAGTTGCTCTTCTTCCTCTATTCTTTATTTTATATAGCTCATTACTATCTCTCTATGCCAGAAACTATGAAATCATGATAGGTGCTTGCCTTCACATGCTAGCCGATCCCATATGTTGGTACATTCTAACAATGCTACTACCATTTTTCATCTCTTTTCCTCCCAGTCCACAGTGCATTTCCCCTGATTCAGGCCTGCAGCTATACTTATGTACCTGCACTCAACCAAACTTCATCATTCCTTTTGGTGAACTTATAACCTATTTTCTGCATCATCTCTTTATTTTTTCTAGTATTGCTTTATCTTTCTATTCTTTGTTCTACCCAGGTCCCCATGTACTGCTCTATAGGGTTTATTAGCCACTACTTTATTTTCCTTCAGCAGCTGAACCCTTTGTTCATAATATTAACATCTCTTAGTATTTAGCAGTTACTGGTTTGTGTGTCAGACTCTCTGAATGGACTGAATTCCTCTGCAGCAGGAAATGTGTCTTACTCATTTTTTTCATCTCCTATGCCAGCCCATGCCCAGTACAAAGTAATTCATGAATGAAAAATTATTTATCAAGTTCAGTAGTGAGGACAAAACTGCCTTGCCTGAGTGAAACAGACTGGGGATTCTTACCATTCCTATCCATTCAGGGTTTGGTATATATGTGTAGCCAAGAAATTGGGCTTCTCAAGGATGTGAGATGTCAATGCCTTCTGACTGAAAGTAGGGTGATTTTGTCTGTTTTTGTCCTTCTGGATTGTGAATCTTGTTATTCAGAGGGACATGAGAATACTTTTATATTCTACCCAGCTTTTCCCATTATTCCCCCTCAACTGGTTAACTAATTGTTAATTTCTCATGGGCCTAAGCTTCTGTAATTTACTGTTTGACCTTAATTTTAAGCACATGCTTCATCAGGATACTGCCCAGAACATCACTATTCAAAGTTGCTTCATAGACCCATTCTGATCTATAACTAGAGAATGTTTGCTTATTTGGGAGTAAGCAGAAACTTTTATTGTAATTAATTTTGCTTGAAGCTAAAAATAAAACTTTAGGGCTTGTGTTTTATATTTCTTTTAGTTTTATTTTTCTCATAATTCATTTTTATCATATTTACACAATTATAGACCTCTATTAGAAAAAAAAATTGGCCTTTCACCACAGATAGCTTGAGAAGTACTCATCTAAAATCTCACAATTGAGCTCTTCCTCTACACCAGTGCTACTCAAAATGTGGTCCTGGCCTGACAGTTTGTAAACTGCCTACCTAAGATAATGAGCTTACACTAGGATGTAAATTAAGTCCCTAAGCTTACTGCTTAGTTAAGTGGACATTTTGTTTGGCTGGTTGGTTCTGATAGTAGGTCTTTTTCAGAGTAATGTGTTGCTTTATATTCCGGTATAAGCTCCTTATTTCTTTGCAAACCAGTAGTTTAAAGAACACTGCTCTAGCCAGTCTTGCAATTCTCAAGTCTACCATTGTGTTCTGTTTCTGACTGGCAGATTTGCGTTTTGGAATAAGGTATGTTACTATCAGGAAGGAATCTCAAATTCCTGTGCTTTGAACTGTCACCACTTCAGAGTACTTGTAGAAATTCTTAATAGTGGATTCTTGTGAACTTCAAAAATGAACTGCCACTTCAGCAGCATGTCTTTCCTGCTCTTTAGAAACTCATTCAGAGCAGTGAGAAATTTCTGTCAATAATCTGTTGAAAACCAGCTGAAGCTTTCTTATATGAAATGCCAAGCAGAGACTATTTAAGGCAGCACTTAAAATGCCTATGAAGCACCAGGAGAACTTACTAAAATGCTGATTCCGATTCAGTAGGTCTGGGATGGGGCCTAGGAGTATGTATTTCTAACAAGCTTCCGGTGATGCTGCTGCTTTCAATCAGTAAACCACAGTTCAAGAAGTAAGAATTTAAATCATCATGTCGACTCTTATTAGCTCCAGTGATGTTCTGGACAACATTGACAGGAAACCAATAAATCAGAGTGTCAGTTCACATTAGGTTGAGTTTTGCTTTCCTTTGGCTAAATCACTAATAGAGGGATATATAGGGCTTTTGAAATTAAGAAAATGCTTTCTTCAATATAATTTATTAATATTTGGATTTTACATTTATGTAAATAACTTTTTTAAATGTTTTGTTTAATAGATGAGAACACAGACATCGCTGAAAACCTCTATCAGAAAGTTAAAATTCTTTGCTGGGTTATGACAGGCCCTCAAAACCTAGAGAAAAAGGCCAAACATGTCAAAGCTACATGGGCCCAGCGTTGTAACAAAGTGTTGTTTATGAGCTCAGAAGAAAATAAAGACTTCCCTGCTGTGGGATTGAAAACCAAAGAAGGTAGAGATCAACTATATTGGAAAACAATTAAAGCTTTTCAGTATGTTCATGAACATTATTTAGAAGATGCTGATTGGTTTTTGAAAGCAGATGACGACACATATGTCATACTAGACAATTTGAGATGGCTTCTTGCAAAATATGACCCTAAACAACCCATTTACTTTGGGAGAAGATTTAAGCCCTATGTAAAGCAGGGCTACATGAGTGGAGGAGCAGGATATGTACTAAGCAAAGAAGCCTTGAAGAGATTTGTTGATGCATTTAAAACAGACAAGTGTACACATACTTCCTCCATTGAAGACTTAGCACTGGGGAAATGCATGGAAATTATAAATGTACAAGCAGGAGATTCCAGAGATACTACTGGAAAAGAAACTTTTCATCCCTTTGTGCCAGAACACCATTTAATTAAAGGTTATCTACCTAGAACCTTTTGGTACTGGAATTACAACTATTACCCTCCTATAGAGGTAAGTTTAGAAATTCTATTACTACATTAACATTTGGAATGACTGAATTTTATTGATAAAAACTTGTTAATATGTGTATGTTCTTTAGGACCAATAACTAGGACTCTTTCTTAGCCTTTTTAAATAGAGTAGCAGTATAACAAAATAGATGAGAACAGGGACATCAGCAATAGCCACTTGGCAGATATCTGTTGTTGCTATTATATGCCAGGCACTAAGAATGTGGAAGTAAACAGAGCCAAGTTCCGGTTCTTATGAATCTTACATTCTGGATGAAGAGATGTACAAAAAACAGGCAGACTAGTAAAGATATAAAAGGATTTTAGTAGTAAGTGCCCTGAAGAAAAATAAGCCAAGTAAGGAGATGGAGAGTGACCCAGAGTGGGGTAGAGTCCTCTGGTTTGGGTGATTAAGGAAGGCCTCTCCAGGAGGTGATTTTTGAGCAGAAACCTGAGTGATATTAAAGAGCAACCTGTGTGAAGATCTGCGTAAAGAGACTTCTAGTCATCACGAGCAAGACGTGAAAAGACTTGGAGGTTCAGAAAGACCTAGAGTCAAATCCTGCTCTCCCACTTAATAGCTGAACGACCTTGGATGGACAGGATTTGTCTGACTTCTGAACCTCAGTTTCCTCATTTGTAAGATGGACATGATGTACCTGTCTTATTTAGTTGTAATTACAATATAGTACGCCTTTCACACAGTAAGCATTTAATAAGCCTTGGCTCACATTTGACATCTTAGCTTACATTCCTGAGAATTTTATCTAAAGTACATTACTTTATGAAGTATTCCACTTGTAAAGATGTTTCAGAATAACATACCTTGTATTCATCCCCCATCTTTACCAAATTTTAATCTTTTGCCACATTTCAGTTTTTTAAAGAAAAATAATGCTGTAGTTGAGGCCTGTGTACCCTCTCCAATCTCCTTACCTGGAGTTAACCACCGTCATGAATTTAATATTACTCATTACCATGAATGTTTTATATTTGTCCTACATGTTTATGTATCCACAAATAATATAGTACTGTTTTTCAGATTTTTAAATAAGCATCTTTCTACAGTTTGCCCTTTTCACACAACATTGAGGCTGATCAGTGTTAATTACGTATCTGCTATGTTCACTATTAAATCATTGCTTCAGTAAATAACTGAATGAGACCAGGAATCATGAAACCTAGCTTTTAGACGCAATTCTGTTCATGATTAATAATGCCTTTAGGCAAGTCACTAGTTCTCTGTGCTTACCTCTCTCTGGACCTAGCCTATAAATAATACACTTCGTGCTACTCATAAGGCAGCACTTTCAAATCATCATCTGTAACAGTGGTTCTCAACCCAGGGCAATTTTGCCCCCAGAGGACATTTTGCAAGGTCTGGAGACATTTTTGGTTGTTACAACTAGGAGGTTGCTACTGGCATCTAATGGATAGAAATCCACTACATTATAAACTTACTAGATGATAAATATCCTAAAATGCACAGGATAGCCTCCTACAACAAAGAATTACTCTAGCCCAAAACATCAGCAGTGCCATAGTTCAGAAACCCTGGCCTAGAACTTCTGACCCAAGCTTTAGGTAATCAGCTTTAAAAGGAACTTTTGATAGTCTGTTTTTCTGTTTTAATGAGGGTACTACTTTGCTTTTTTGATGTAAACTTTTCTTAGTATATTCTGACCATTCCAAGATGACTTGACCTTTTCCTTCCTTTCTTCTTTGAGATGGAGTCTCGCACTGTTGCCTGGGCTGGAGTGCAGTGGTGCAATCTTGGCTCACTGCAAGCCTCCCAGGTTCAAGCGACTCTCCTGCCTCAGCCTCCTGAATAACTGGGATTACAGGTGCCCGCCACTACCTTTCCAATATGAAAAATATACCCAAATTCAAGAATATAAACGTAGCAAATGCATCCAAATTCATATAAGAATTTACCAAGAGTATCTGATATTGGGTACACATACAATAGTAGCAAGGGGATATCATAATTGTCATTATTTTGTAAATAGCAAAATAGCCTTCCTTCCTTTTGAGAGTACTGTCTACAATTTCTGTTTACAAATGAAGTATACCTAACAATATACTTTATATAAACAAAATGTAGTGCATCCTTTATTTACATTGTAGTTGTTTATTAAATGGATGGCAAATTTGTTCTTTCTATAAAAATTTATCCCATTATGTTGACCATAAAACAGAATTCAAAGTACCAAAATTGACCCATCATTCTGACATTGTCTGTTCTCCATCAGGAGATTCTAACATAAACTAAAATTCTATGTTTTTTTTTTTTTTTTTTTTTGAGATGGGGTTTTACTCTTGTTGCACAGGCTAGAGTGCAATGGCGCAATCTCGGCTCACTGCAACCTCCGCCTCCTGAATTCAAGCAGTTCTCCTGCCTCAGCCCCCTGAGTAGCTGGGATTACAGGCATGCACCACAACACCCTGCTAATTTTTTGTATTTTTAGTAGATACAGGGTTTCTCCATGTTGGTCAGGCTGGTCTCGAACTCCCAACCTCAGGTGATCCACCCACCTCGGCCTCCCAAAGTGCTGGGATTACAGGTGTGAGACACTGCGCCCAGCCCCGAAAATTCTATTGTTATCCATGTATTATTTAATAAGTTGTCTTTCCCCTATTTTTTTTCTATATACTAATTACTAAAAATACAGAAAATTTTTATCTAGCAAGTCAGGGTATAAGATATTCTAATTCATATTCCTAAATTTCTTGTTCAGAACTGACTCTTAAGCAATTCTCTTCCCACTCCACCTTCTTAGGAATAGACTTTCCACCAGAGATGTTGCAATGAGTAGATTTAAAATACATGTGTAATTTTTTGCATACATATCTCTCGACATGAAAAACAGACTTTTCTATAGGTCAGAAATGGTCAAATATTATTTTACTTTTCAGTTTTATTTATATTATTCTATCTGAAACATATTAGCACATAATTGAGATAGAGAGCTCCTGATTTTTCCAAATTAACTAATTATTCTAGTACCATTTTTTAATTCATTACTGATTTAAAATACCCTTTTATCATACACTATAGCATTACTTATAGTAGGATCTATATCTGAGATTTCAATTCTGTGCCATTGTTCTAATTTGATTTTGGCCCAGCACCATATTGTTTTGAACCTTGTAGCTTTACAGTAGTTTCAAGTTATTCTAAGGGCAAATTAACTTTTTTTTTCTCTCTTTCTTTCCAAGTGTTTTGGCAACTCTCATATCTTTATCTTTGCATATAAACTCATTAATTTAGAGATAACATCTTTGCCCAGGATTTTTTTTAAGTTGCCTTTTAGGTCCTTTGGTCAAGTTTTAGAAACTATTTCCATAGGTATGTAATATTTTTGCTACTGTTCTACTTGTGCTTATTTAAAACTTACCTTTTTACTGGTATATATGAAAACTTCGTTTGGTTTTCTTTTTAAGCATCTTTAAAATCTGACTTTGTAACTGAATTCCTCTTTATTTCTGATGATTCTTCACTTGAGATTCTTGAGTTTTTTGGGTAACTGTAATTGTCTACAAGCTCTTGTTTTTTAATAATTATAGCTTTTTTCTTTTATTGTCGTTTATTGCATAAATGCTTAACAGTAACAGAATCCTGACCATACAGTAAAATACAAATAAATAAGAATAATATAATTAATGCAGTAAATCTTATTTAAAATATTTATTAAAAACTATTACTGGTCTAGTCTTTAAGTTTAATATGCACTGGACAGTATATAGTAGCCACTAAGTATGTGTGGTTACTGAGCACTTGAAATGTAGTTACTCCAGATTGTAAATATAAAATATACACTTGATTTTAAGAATGGTTTCATTAATCATTTAAAAACTACTACATGTTAAAACAGTATGATGAAAGTTTTTAGTTACATAAAATATATTCAAATAAATTTCACCTATTTCTTCTTACATTTTTAATATCTGTTGAACAGAGTTTAGATAATCACAAGTTGACTTATCTGGTTATTTTTCCTATTTGCCTTTATTCTGATATTTCCTAAAAGTGTAAGAATAGGGTTATCTAAGAATCCACATGTCCAGTGTGTGTTTCAAAGGAAAATTCAGAGATAACAGCACAGAAAATGCAATGGACAGTTTCTTGATAATTTTTACTACACTGTAAGGTATATACTACCAAACATGAATTAGTAGATTTATTAAAAGTTCAATCAATATGAATCTTCTCTTGGAACTTGCCAGACTGTCTCCCTCATTCTTTACAAAGATGTCAGATGGACCCTGAAGTTTTGTTGGTATCACATGGATGACTCCAGTATTCTCCAGATACCCAATTCTGACTCCAGGTTGACTGCTTAATTTATCTCTTTTTCTATCTTCTTAGTTTTCTTGTTCATTGTATTATTGTTTTATTTTCAACTTTGTTCTCATACCAACTCTATTAGGAATTTATGAGAATTACGTAACTGAACAAAGGTTTAAATCTGACCTACTTACCTGAGGGCCACCTGATACAATTTTTCTGTCAATAATAGCTAACATTTATTGAGCATTTATTTTAAGGAAAGGGTAATGCCAAGCATTTTACACATATTTTCTCCTTTAAATAACCACCTTTTACAGGTGGGGAAATTAAAGCTTATAGAGATTAAATAACTTGCTCAAGGTCATATACTATCCTGCCAAATTTGGGTTCAAACTCAGGTCTAGCTTGAGAGCTTTGCCTCAAATACTGTACTGTTTGGCTTGATATATAGATGAAGTGTATTTGGTTGTAGACACCTAATGAGCAAGGTTTTGAAGTCATTGAATGCCCTATAGGTTCTTTCCAAGTCTGAGTCAAGCAAAAAATTACAGTGAGAAAATGAGGAAGAGAAAGCGGATGTTGGAGAAAGGTTTGTCCTTTGTATAGCTGTTCCTTTGCTTTGAAGAAATCTCAAAAATTTTATCTGCTGAAACACTGAAGAGTGTAAGAGAATATTGTTTCAGTTAGAAATATTGTTGCAGTTAGAACCAATTTCAGTTTTAAATCATTAGGATGTCTCCACAGGTCTAGTAAATGAGATTCCTCTGCTTTGCCTTGCCAGCTTTAATGTTTGCATACTTTTAAAATTAGTTTGTCCTTTATAAGTATGTGAATATTATATGCTAGCAATGTGCTGTTTATTAACAATGCCTGTTTCCACTCCTTTTTTAGGGTCCTGGTTGCTGTTCTGATCTTGCAGTTTCTTTTCACTATGTTGATTCTACAACTATGTATGAGTTAGAATACCTCGTTTATCATCTTCGTCCATATGGTTATTTATACAGATATCAACCTACCTTACCTGAAAATATACTAAAGGAAATTAGTCAAACAAACAAAAATGAAGATACAAAAGTGAAGTTAGGAAACCCTTGAAAGAAAACCATGAATGAACAAAGGTAAAATGTCTAGCATTGCACTGAAGAAGGACTTCTGCATTTCTGACAAAGAATACTGGAATCCCAGTGAGGAATTTAAGTGAACATTCCATACAGAAATCTTTCACATGAATGACTATAAACTGAAGCTTTAAATGAGCTGTGAAGTCTGTTAAAATGTGTTTTGATACAGTAATATATATCTATATATATATATATATGAAGAACTTGTGTTTTTAAAATGGTAGCCAGGTAGAAGAACTAGAAAAGAGATTTTGTTGCCTATTTTTGACCATCTGTATTATTGTTGCTGAGAAACTAAAACAGTTAAATTTGCTAACACTACACTGCATTATGTTAGTAATAAACAGATCTGCCTTAAAGAAAATTTTAGAAAGAAATATTGTCGCTCAGTGTTGTTAATACAGCTCAAGAATTTAGTTTAATTTGCAGTATGATATAAATGATTCAGCCCCTCCCTTCCACACACACATAATTTTTGTCTAATGAAACTTTTGCTGTGATTATTTACAATTGGCAGTATTTCTTCCAGAAGAAGATAAAATAGGACTGGCACTTATCCTGAGGTGCATTAATAAAACCACACTTTAAAATGATCATGGGCCTTGACTATATTATATACTTCATTCTAATTAGTAATCTTTTATGGAATCTCTGTTGTCTGTTTTCTAAATATGTTTAGCTACTCTTGAATACCATTCTCCACTATTAATATTAATTTACTCAAAGCATTCATAGCATTCTGAAACATTTATTTTATAATATTTGCTCCCAAATTTACCCATTGTTAATTATGGGTAACTAATAATAAATTTAATGCTATTTGAGGATGCTTTTCTTATATCAGTGCCACTCTCAGGAATTACTAAGTAACATTTTTAATTGATTATTTTAAACTCTTTCCAACTACGTAGTTATGGTTTCTTTAATTCTCATCCTGTTGAGAGACAAGAACTTGTTTGTGCCTTTCATAACTTGTTTAAAGCAGAATTTTAAATTCACTTTTAGGATCTGAGGTGGCTATTAGTTACCCTAGCAAGATTCTTTTGAATGCAAGATTTTGAGGGGAATAAATTAAAAACAATAGAAAATGCAGAGTGCTTAAACAAAAATGTTGTACATTGAAAGAGTACTTAATTTATAAATAATCTGAAGGTTGATGCTGACTTACTATTTTGGGATAATTGTTTTGCCAATGGATAATTCTAACAATGCAGATTACCTAGTCAAGACTGTCATCAAAAACATTCACAAATGTTTCATTCTATTTTTAGTGACTCTCTGTTTAAAGAGTTTCTGAAAGGAAAGAAAATTATTTTTATTATCTTAAGCAATACTGAGTATGTCAGAATATTTTACAGACTTTCTATGAGATTTTTAATGGTACAAAAGATTTACATTTCCCTTATGTTTATCATTATGCCAATTTGACATGGCTGTCATGCCACTGACTCTGCTGTTTAGCTAAATAATTTCTTTTTTTTTTTTTAAGAAAGGANTGTTGTGATCTAGGCCTTCCTTGGGACTCCTTTGATTTTAGCCAAAAAAATTTTTTTTCTTTTGGAGACAGGGTCTTGCTCCATTGCCCAGGCTGAAGTGCAGGAGTGCGATCTCAGCTCACTGCAACCTCTGCCTCCCGGGTTCAAGCGATTCTCCAGCCTCAGCCTCCGAGTAGCTGGGATTACAGGTGCGTGCCACCATGCCCGGCCAATTTTTGTATTATTACTAAAGATGGGGTTTTACCATGTTGGCCAGGCTTGTCTTGAACTCCTGACCTCAGGTGATCCACCCACCTCTGCCTCCCAAAATGCTGGGATTACAGGCGTGAGCCACAGAGCCCAGCTAGCTAAATAATTTTTATTTATTGTGCCAAAACATGTCAAAATCATAACCTCTTTGAAGGGTATATTTGAGAGGATGTTCATTTCATTGGCTAACCATGAATTACTCTGTCCATGTAGTAAAAACATACACCAGTTTTTTACCTATTATCATGGTAGTATGGCATTGATTTTATTCTTTGAACAACTCTTTACCATGGTGTGTTACTTGACTAGAAGTATAAACAGTTTACTATAAATATCCAAAACCTTAAGATTTGCTCATAGGAAATGAATATTGTGATGAATCCTGGGCTTTAGAGTCAAACTTGCTTGGGTTTAAATTCTTGCTCCAACACTTACTGTTTTTGTAACCTTGAGCAATTTTACTTAATCTCTCTGCGTCGCAGTTTCCTCATCTGTATATTAGGGATGATAATACTAACTACCTCACAGGATTTTTATGAGGATTAAATAAATGTAATGTTCTTAGAACACTGTCCCAGAATAGGTAGCAATAAATAGAAGATGGTATTATTACTGTATTGCCTTGGAGTATAAATACTGCATTTAAGCGAATGAAAAAATTGCTTTAACCAGATACTGAAGGAAATATTTCATACATTTCTTAATAAGTAATAGTATTTATCGAGTGCCTACTGTATGCTAGGTACTACGCTTAGATAATCTGTATAATGTTAATCCTCAAAATTTGAGATAAGGAAACTGAGCCTTGGGGAATTAAAGTAATTTTGTCACTGTCACAAAGCTAGTAAGTAACAGGTAGGATTTATATTCAAATCCTGTGTGTTCATTTGAACCATATCAGACTTGGGGTTAGTCATTTAGCATTATTTCCATTTTTATTTATATGATATGTGACATCTGATACATTGGCCAGTAATAGTCAAATCAACACAGTGAAAATGTCATAATGATTATTAAACTTTGGTTCTTACACTTGCCTAGGGCATTGTTAAAATGCAGATCTGAAGACCCCAATCTCAGAAATTTTAATTTAACCATGGTGTGGTCCCAACAAATACCATCAACATCACCTGGGAACTTGTTGGAAATGCAGCCTCTCTCAGGGCCCCATCTCAAATCTACTAAATCAGATACTCTAGGAGCAGCGGCAGGGGCTAGCAGTTGTGTTTAAGCAAACTGCAGGTGTCTTTCTCATCCTGGTTTGAGAACCACTGCCCAACAACCTACATGATTTTGGTGCAAACAGTATTTGAAACACACTGAAGATTACCGCCCCATTACTAAGACATTTTTCAAAAAGAATGTTTTAAATCAGTGTAGTCCAGGATCATACTATATTAAATATAAAATAAAGATAATTTAAATGGTCATTGAATCATTCATTTTGGTCAAATTTTAACTTCTCCAAAGTGACTAATATCAGGGCCTACAATAAAATCCAAGTTTAGCAATTTTATATTGAGGCAGGAAGGGTTTATTAAGTACTAATAAGTACTTCATAGAACACATAAAACCAGACTTCATGATGATGATGTATTCACTGTCTTTTGGATTAGGATCTTCGTTATTTGGATAAATGATTTTAGTATGGTTTCAAAACAAGGCTTTTGATGTCATGTTCTCTAATAATGGTTTGCTTGTATGTTCTAGTGGAAAGTTCATAGATAAAGCAGATTTTTGTCCCAGTTTGTTTTCAAATACCGTAAATTTCAGAGGAGCTTTTCTTACTGTAATGAGATATGAAAATAAATCACTGATCAGCTTTTAATATTTTTTTAATGTGAAATTGGATTTGAGCATTACATTTGCTAACTGGTTATTTTCACATTTTTTCTTGAATATTAATTTTTCACTGCTTTGAGACTGTCAAATTATGGTTATTACAGGTTGATGCACTATTGTACTTGAAAGAATCCCTTGACTAATTAAATTATATCTAGCATCTTAATTTGCCATTTAAATTTTCAGTTCATTAGACTATTATTCTTTGACAGTTTCTGCTTTGTATTTATTGCCTTTTTTATTTGCTTTATTACTAACTTCCATTTTCTAGTTACTCTTAAATGTTGCCTTCACAGGGTTAATTTGGCTGTTAATAGTGATTAGAATTTTTATTACTTAGTTGATAATTTTAAACCTACTAACTAAGTTTCCCAATGAGATTGAAAGTAAAAGTCTGTCTAAGAATAATGCCTGCTGGCTCTCAAGATACTTGCCCTGCTTAAAAATTCATAATTTTAAAGTAATTCTACATCTATAATTATTAAAGGAAGTAAAGTTATTTGGATTCTTCTACTCACCCTTTTCTCAAAAACAAAAAAAAAACTTTTTATTTTTCTACTGTATAGTAGGCCTGACAGAAACATACTAAAGCAATCTGGGAGACAACCTGTGGTAGACTTTATGCTAAATGTTAATGTTACCTCTGTTGATTAAAAAAAAAAAAAAGTGTTTATAAGAGTTGAAATAAAAATTTTAACACAGGCTGAACTAAGGAATTGTACAAATTCTCTGTAGAGAAACCAACTCTAAAGTTTTAGAGTTGAATTGTGCTCTGTTTCATGCCCTTACCTCTCTAGTTTTCAGTTTATGTTAGTTAAGTTTTAATAACTTTGCAGGGCCCTGCAAATTAATAATCTACATGAAGTATATTATTAGAGGGAAACTAATCTTACTGCTAAGCAGTGTGCTGTACTAGTGAATGTTTGTGTTTTGGAATTTAAAAATTATTTAAGGTAATGGTGTTATGAATGGTTTAAATATGTCTGGTGACTTGCTTATTTTAAGTCATCACCATTAAGTCAGAAAAATGTATTTTTTAATGTTTCTTAAAGTGCCTTTTGAACATTTTTAAACAGCAGATTTAAATAATGCATAAAATAAATTGCCATGTTCAAAGTTGTTTCATCTGATTATTTTTGACCAATATAAAAGTTGTGAGATAAATGTTATCTTTTATGGGTAGTTGTGGGGTTATTTTTCTAAGTTTTACTGCAATATATATTATTTACTTTATTCCACCTCTGACTGAGAATAATATACCTTAAAAAAATTAGAAACATTGTGTAGTCCAGGTAAGTGTGTCTGGATGGGTAGGGGTGCAGGTGGGGGAAATCTCATATATATTTAGAGAGAAACTGCTTCTCTGTTCCTTGGTGTATTTTGATCTGTTGAATACACTGATAAATTATTCAGCAAATAAGTGTGCCAAGCATCTGCTAGAAATACAGTGGTGAACAAGACATAGAGGAGGTCTGTTTTCATTTAGCCTTAACTTTAGAGTTAGAAATAAGCTAGTAGATGGATAAACAAGGTATTTCAGAGAGTGGTATTAGGAAAATAAAAATATCCGAACAGTTTTCTGGATGACATATTAAGGAAGACTAGGAAGTAACATTTGAGCAGAGACTTGAATTTTGAATGACAGACATTTTATATACTTCAGAAGTTACTTTTATCTGTGAAATTATTTGTTCCTACTATGTAAAAACAAAAAAAGTTTCCACCCTTAATCATGCCGTGGGTATCTGTGAAAGCTGACTGAAATGTAATCTATATGCTAAAAAACTGTGTTTTTGAGCATACTTCATCCAGAGCTCTGGTCTATTGATAGTAGGTTTGTCTGGGAGTTTCAGGGTATGAATAAAAATAGACCTAGTCTTTTACTTCTTTCTAGGCAAACAATTACAAATTCCATAAGGCCCTTGAGTCTAGCCTATTTGCCTTGATTTTTCAGTAATCTGCTACCCAATATGTTATTTATTAGCATGTATGTGTGCACACAAGCATGCATACACAGTTATTTGGATTAGACAGCTTTAGAAAAGCTGAGGAGATAAATACCACTTCACACTACTTTAGTAGTAGGGTTGTATAATTTAATATATTCAGCTAAATATTTTCCAACTAGCTGTACTGATAATTGACAAACCATTGGAAAGTAGATATATTTACCCAAATACATACAATTAAAACTATTTTAATTTTCCAAAGGTATACTTCATAGTACTGGGAAGGATAGAAGATTCTTGCTGAATTTATCTCCTTGTTAAAGGGAAGGACTACAGAGCTCAAGATATTTTTCATCAAGTCTAATAATGCTGACAATATGGATTGTTCAAGAGAAATTTTTTTAGTGGTTAAGAATGAATGAACATTTAACAACTAAAGTTGAGTAAGCTCAGCAACATTGGCATTCTCCAGATACATCTGTATTAGTAAAACATAGAAGTGAACTTTGTTATGCTGTGAGTTTATTATTACTGATTAACGCATTTTGTATTGCTGCCTAGAACCTAAAACTGTCTCTGTGTCGCATCATTTCTTGTACCAAATGTGCTAGTGTTTCTTGTATTGTTATTGATACTGCTTTTCTCCAGGAGTAAAAATTTGTCCAGGGTATTATATACTTTTTTTATATATTGGATCTGTATAGTGCAGTTGAATACAGCAGCTTACTTTGAAATAAACAAAATACTCGTTTAAAAAAAATGAGGTTCAGTCCTAGAACTTAGGCTCTTTGGCTTTTCTAATGAATGCCTAGTGAAAGATTAACAGTACTTCTTCATTTCTAGAACTGCTGACTGATGTGCTGTCATAGAACTAATTTGGGTACAATGTCTTCTTAAAACTAATCAGGTTAAAAAAAAACTAATCAGGTTTTTTCTTTTGTAAG